TTCTAACTGTTGTTGTTGGTTTCTAACTGTTGTTGGTTTCTAACTGTTTGGTTTCTAACTGTTGTCATTGGTTTCCAACTGTGTTGGTGGTTTCTAACAGACTTTGAGCTCATCTAGAACTAAATCTATCCAATGGCGTGATGGACAGACCTCAGTTTGTCCTTTATTTTAACCCTTTAAGCTTTATTTTTACATTAAAGCCTATTTACGTTTGTTTTTCCTCTGAAGCCACCCAGATCTGTTGCCATCCATCCCTTGGCGATAGCTTTTCATCCCGTCTTCTCCTCTTGTCCTAATCTTCCCTTTTTCCCTCTGTTTCTTCCATTAAATTGCATCTCATCACGTGACGACGCTCCATTCACTAAATCTCACTCCTCCCCTGCCATCCTTTCATCAACCCAATCTTAACCCTCACTCCCATGTCAACCCGCCCCCCTCCTCCCTATCTGTTTCTTTCTCATCGCCCGCTTATCCTCCTCCCGATCCAGTCAGCCTGATCTCATGTGTCAGTGTGCCAAATCTGCTTGTGTTTGTGAGCAGACGCGGCTTACGTAAAGAGCCTCAAATGAAGGGACAACAAACGGTCCTCTGCCCCGCATCCCTCCATGCTGCCTTCATACATGCAAGGCGCCAGGTGAGATTACATAAAGGCCTAGGTGATGAAAGCCACTCTGAGGCGCGCCTATTGAGTAATCCGATACAGGACAGCTGGCTGACACACAGCTGAGTGTTAGCGTGGCGTGGGGTAAGAAAGAGGGGTGTCAGAGCCGCGGTGGAGTGATGAAAGCTTACAGTCATCTGTGCCATATGTGAGATTTGAAACTGCGTCCTTCAGTCTGCATGCACTCCGTTTGCCTCCTATGCTTCTGCTACAAATGCACATCTGTTCATTATTCACAGTCTCTGAGTGTGTTTGTGCGAGAGACGGAGCGGTTCCCCTGCCACTGTGCCCACCACATTCATGCACTTAATGATTCAGCACACAAGGACTAACCATGCAGATATGGATTTGAATCTGCTGGACCAACATGTGCTCAGTCTTTCTGCAGGGCCTGGCAGAAGTGTGCACACCCCTAGACTTTGGCACCATGAACTAGAATGTGTTTTATTAGGATTTTATAAACAAAGCAGCACATAAATGTGAAGGGGAAAGACGGCGATGCACAGTGACGACCTCCCATGGCTGCAGTTGGAGCCGAGTGTGTGTTTATGGTGTGTTACTACCAGCTTTGCTCATCTGGAGACTGAAACTGTTCAGTTCTGTCAGACTGGACAAAAAGCAACCGAGAACCTCAATCTCCAAGTGTTGTCTGAGATTCTTGCTTGGATTTAAGTCTGGATTTGACTAGGCTGTCCTAATACACGACTAATTCAAGCCATTGTCACTTTGGCCGCCTGTTTAGAATCGTTTTCTATTGGCAGTCAAAACAGCATGATGCTGCCACTACCAAGTTTCACCACAGGGACATATGAAACACATAATTGTGTTTTACATAATGCCCAAAATGGCCCCCTTCCGATTTCCATCAAGACCTGCATTCACACTGCAGGTCTTGATGCTCATTTCTGATTTACTTTTCTTTGTTCTACTTGATCGTTCATACCATCAGTTCAGTCAGACTTATGTGTGGATAGTTTACGATCCCAAAGCGACCCGCTTTTACAGAAGAAGTTGATTGTTGAGCAATGGGAGCCGACAGGATTATCACAAGATGAAGGAAGCTAATAAAAAGAAGAAAGCTTCAACCATTGTTTATGTACAGATTTACTGCTTCTCCTCCTGGAGCACACTTATGTCCAACGACACAAGGCGGATCTAATGCAATTTGACTGCAGGCTCTTGAAAACAGTTGCTGATTTAGTACCACATGTTTTTATTTTTTACGTTGTGCTGTTCAGGCAGGGGAAAAAGCCGTATTTGGGTCACGTTCCCCAGCTGCGAGAGTCTAGCCTTGAAGCTGTCATGTCAACCGATTCTCCCACCTGAGCTGTGGCTCTCTGCACCTCCTCCACTGCCTCTTGGCTGCATTCCCAATCAATGTTCTCCAGTTCTCATGCCATGAACACATCTTCACATCTTGTTTTCTGATTGAGAAGTGGACTTTATAATCTAAACCTTCATGTAGACCAGTTCCTTGGTCTACATGATGCTGTTTGTTCACAAATGTTCTCTAACAAACCTCTGATGTTTGCATACTGAGATTAAATTACACATTATATGACTATTTCTTAATAAGGAGACTTCTGATGTTACGTTTTTCCACTAGATTTTATTTAGGGTCACCAGAGTAAATGGAGCTGGACACAAGTGCATGCCAGAGTTATTTGATTTATACTTTTTTCTTCCATTTCACAATTATTTACCATGTCATGTTGGTCAATGTTATGAAATCCAAAACAAAATGTGTAAGAGCATGAATCTTTTTTTCAGGTTGTGTGTGTGTGACGCTCCGTTGACGTTACCTTTTCCGTCTGTGCGCCTCTGTAATCCAAATCAGCTCCACATGTTATCCAGGTTTAGGTCTGTGTGTTTTGTGTGTGTGGATGAGGATGTGTGTCGGTGTTGAGCGCAGATCTCGCCTCAGGTGTTTGTGCTGATACGAGGCCAGCCCAGGGCTGGGTGGGTTGTGTTTTTACTGGTGAAACCTGTCCCACTCACTCCTCCGCACAGCAAAAAGGGAAAAGGCTGATGTAGGTCAACCTCTTGAAACCAGAGAGTTGAAGAAATCCCAATCCCACGATATCCGCTTAGGCTTTTATAGACTGAGAAAAACCTGGAAAATCCCGATTGGCTTTCTCGGTCCCGGCGGCGTATTCCAAAAATGTGAAGAGAGATCCAAGAATCCACTTTGCTAAAAATCCGATTTGTGGCGTCTTGATGCGATTTCCTCCTGGCCGTGCTCAACTTTGCTCCTTCCCTCCTGGTTTTCATTCCTGTTCATTCTTCGTCTTTTATCTTTCATCCCCTCCACTTCCAGCTCTGATCCCCTGCCCGCTCGGCGTGATGCACATTTACTCTCCGACTCTGAATTAGTCGTTTCTCGTGACCTTGGGTGGAAATTGAGGGAAGCGGGATTGTCGAGACGGACGTATCGTTAGAAATCTGAAACAAAAGACGCGTGGACAGTGTGAAAATGCTGAACGCGAGACGTGCAGTCGCATCTTTCACCCTAACTTCCCCCTCCTGTCCATCTCCCCTCTCTCATCCCAAAGGATGCAACTCAACCTCACCCTCCCTAACCCCCGCCACACCTCCTCCTCTTCCTCGCCTCTCCTTCCTCTCACTCCCTTTCACCTGTCTGTCAGAAACAATCAATAGCTGCGAGACCCTCTTAACGCTCCTCAGCGGGCTGCATTGGCTTATTGCTGCACAAATGCACTCGTGCACGCACACGCGTGGTCGTGCAGCACTTTCACACACCTCCACAGTCGCTGCCACCACATTCAGTAAGTAGTCATGCAGTGATACTCTTGCACACACTCTGCCTCTTCCTCCCTGTCAGCACACACACACACACACGCAGACACACACGGACTCACACAGCTTAATGAAACAACTGAGCTATTGATCAGCTCCATGAATGTCAGACAGTTCAAAACTCCCCCACAGCCTCCCACCCTCTCTGTTTGCCTGTCAATCAATCTCCAAAAGCCAACTCTGTTAAAAAAAAAATCTCGTCTGTGCAAAGTGTGTTACATCCGTGCAGTTTCTCTGCTCCAAACCGAGGAATCTGGGATGCATTTGTTTCCCCACTTGCTTACTTTCCTCCTTGGCAATTCCAATTTAGCTATTTAAGCGATAGCGTCGTCGCTCTGTCCCCGTCCGACAGGCTCTGCCCGGCGTTCTGTGATGAAAAGGTGGAATTACTAACCTTGTTTTCCGGATCATTCCACCGCGACTCCTGGAGCAGTCACATCTCTCCGTCTCCGTGGCTCTCGCTCTATCTCAGCTCCGCAGAAAAACACCCATCTCTCTCTCTCTCCCCCTCTCTCCTTCGGTTTTTCCCTCTCTCTATCTCTCTGTCTATCCCAACACCCCTCCTCCTCCTCCTTGCTGCTCTCTCCCCTCAGTCGGTCTCGACAGCTGCAGCAGCGCTCTGTCTGCCTGCACTGACGCTCTTCCGTCAGGCTGTGGGCTGATTGAATTTTAAGTCATGTTAATCCCACTGAACAGGTACTGAATGAAGGAGGGACGAAGAACGGAGAGAGAGAATAACAGGGATGCAGGCGAATCACAAACCTCCGCTCACTCTCTGTCTCTCTCTCTCCAGGTTTTTTTTTTCAAAACTTCATCCTACTCTTCCTCATTATAATTTCATCCGTCTTCCTGTCCTCTTGGTTTTTCCTTCGTATTGCTGATTGACTTCATCCTCATGTGGTGAAGAAGAGCGTCATTCCCAAGTCGGAGCAGAAAAAGGCATTTGTGATCCGTCTCCGCCGCACCAAGCTGAAGGAATGCACAAGAGAGGGAGGCATGAAGATCAGGAGGATGAGGGATGCTGGGACGAGGCGATGGAGGGAGGGGAGGGTGCAAGAAAACAGAGAGAATCATGAAGAAGAGGAAAGATTAGGTGAGAGGAAGAACTGGACACAGAGGAGGAGAAAATGAAGCTCTGAGTAACAGACTGCGCAGCAGAGGAGCAAATCACATTACTGGGATAATTTATTCCACAATTACAATCGTTTTTTTTTTTGCTTTTAATTAATAAATGTCAAAATTAAGATGTGTTTGCGGAAAATAAGATTAACATTTTTCCTTTAACGTGAGATTGGAGCTCGGCGTCGTGTGAGACAGAAACGATGCAGGACTGTAAAAGTGACACAAAGAAGGAAAAATGTCGACTTTCCACTGCAGAAACAGGTTGGATTTACATTAATTACAAGCTTCAGCGTGCATTTAAGCATTTTACATGACAACTTTTCATGGTTTTAGACAAAAAAATTATAAAGATGAAACGTCTAAAGACTCAACAGGCAGATTTACAGCTTTGGTCAGAACATTATGAACGGCTAAAAATAAAAAACTTCACTGATTAAAAAAAACATGAATTGGGTACAGTGGACCCTTTCCTATTTGCAGATTCATGTATTTGAGGAATCTTGATTATTGGCAGAAGATTTGTGAGATTTTTCTAAAGAGTATTTAAAATATTTGAACGAAAGTTCAGCTTTGGATTCACTCGGTGCCATGCTGCCTGACATGATACTGGCTGACGTTTGCAAAGCAGCCAATCATGTTGTGCCATTTATTTTCTTTGGAGCTGATTGGCTGAACCCCCAACAGCGGTGATAAAGTAGTGATACTTTTTTGTCTTTAACTGCCTTGAATACCAGGAATCTACTGTATAAGAGGTTTATCGTGGATTATTTTTATTCACACCTGGTCATAATTGTGGCTCAGGTATAAATATACATCCCCGCTAATATTCAGCTGCATGTCCTTTATCAAGTTTCATGTCAGTAACAGACTTTATCCAGTCGCCTACACGCTTCTATCCTCATTCTTGTCTCATTTGATGGAAGCACGAGTTCATTAATTTGGTCGGGTTCCTGGTGCAGACGGTTCTTTGAAGCATCTCTCTTATCTTATCCAGAACCACCTGTGAAGTGTTTTTGTCCTGTTGGACCACCTGGTTGCATCCTAAGTTGAAGAATTCGAGGATAGTTGTCGTCTTCATTATTCTATTGACAGAGCAGAATCAGAAAGGAATTTGACTTGCTTGGCTTCCAGGCTCATTGGTGCTTGAAGGAGTTTTGGAGCAAAAGTATTTACTGTTTGAAACAGTTTCAGTGTTTGAAACGCATAAAAATAAACTAATGTGTTCAGTATTATCATGGGAACAAGTCAAACACGTCTGAAATGAAGTAAATTATTTCCTCAGATTGTGGTCAGTTCACTAAGCTAACATCGGTTGAACTGAGGATCTTTGAATTCAGAAAAAAAACTCTTAATTGAATAAATTTACCGTTTACCTCATGAGATCTTCATTAACTTACTGTAAATGTTGCAAATGATCTGTCTTGTCAGCTTTTTAAAACTTTTAAAGTCAAGTAAATGCAGAAAAGTCTGGTATGAATTCACATTGATCCACAAAAATAAAAAGCTCTTTAAAGGACTACAAACTGTAAAACTTTCAAAAGCATAAAATATTGATATGAAAACTATTTGGAAACCTTGAACTTTTCGGCTGGATGGATTGAAGTGAACATAGCTGCTCTGGCGCTGAAAGTTTCTTTGTTTCACTTTTGAACAGGTAAATTTCTATCATTTTTTTGAGCTTTGGGTTCTAATCCTGCTGAAAAGATTCAAGACCTTTGTTTCAAACCAAGGTTCCTCAACTCTTTGCAGCACATTTAAATTTCAAATGATAATCTGCTGATTTAATTTGTTCCTTTGGATAGATTAAATAACTTCCCCACCAGGGACCCCGCAGGATGAAGATCTGCTTCACTTCCTGAGCTTCAGTGGCTCTTTTGTCCCAGAACATTTAACTCCAAAGCCTGAGTCACATATCTTAGAAAGTTTGTGGGGATTTCTCTTATTTTGCTCCTCTGTTATTGATAGGTGATATATCTTTGTTCTTCATATTTTCCCCACAATCAATGCTTTTATGTTGTCAGCTTTATCTGATTTCTGCGCCCTGAGTTGACCTTGTTTTTTATTTACACATGAATAATGCAGCAGTGTGTTGCAGGATTGAGGTGTTTTACTGTTTTTGATTCAGAGCCATTGTGATTAGTTTTAATGAGATTTTTTAATGCTCCACAACACCCATTATCTTCTGCCCATATGAGTTTTGGTCCTAGAGGAAACAAGCATCCCACTAGTCAGCAAAACGTTCCTCCTGAGGGATCCTGACAGAAAGTTCCTCTGCTGTCATGCCACAAAATACGATATGGTCCAAAAAAAAAGGTCAAGCTTCCTATTGGATAATTACTGCATTGACTACTGTCTTCCAGCTGTCAGGATAATGCAATGATTAGCTTTTCATTAAGCAACCATGTGGAAAGGACCGTCCTGCGTTTGTGGAAACGGTGTTGGTGTGTTTAAGAAGGGAAAACATCTAAAGAGATGCAGAATCGGCTAGAACTTGGTTGGGAACTGTCCAATGAATGATTATATACTGGAAGGAAATTGGGGAAACTTTGTCTTTGAGGAGGAAATGCTATCTTCAAATAAACAGTAGAACTGGAGGCTGTTTTCAGCAGTGAAAGTTAGAGCGTTCCCACACAGTGTGAGAGACTGAACAGCTGGGTAGCCTTAAGAAAACCACTAATCATTGACGCTAACTGGAGAAAAAGGCTACAATGTGCAAGGGAGCATAAAGACTGGACTTCAGAGCGACGGAGAAGGGTCATGTGATCAGATGAATCCAGATCGACCCTCTTCCAGGAGGATGGTGCATTGGGGAAGAAGAGAGGCAGATGATGCTGCACCCCGTGTCTAATGTGGGGTCGGTGTTATGATCTGGTGGTTGCAGTTTGTCAGGTCGAACTTTGACCTTTGAGGTCATTAAAACGACCAGGTTATTGCATCAATGGATTATGACATGGGGACACTCCAGGAACCTTTGTTGGGCTAGAATTGTGAAAGACTGGTTCACTAGAGGTAGGGATGCACCATATTGGACTTTTGGTTGATATCTGATATGCCGATATACTAAAAACCCATTTGTCCAATAACCGATACCGATACTGATGTTTTTTTTTTTTTTCCTTTACCTACTTACTGAAACCGTCTTTCTCTACTGTGGATTAAAATACTGCATCATCTTTGTCAAATTAGCCTGCTACCAAACGCAAAAGCTGAAAAGGAGGCTGAAAATTATGCAACACTTTCAACTAGCATTATGTTTAATGTCAAATTTACTCATGACATTTGCTCTCCAATACAATGACAACACTCAAACAGTGCAGATTTGACGTTGTGCAGGTATCATTGTCACTGGCTTGTCAAATAAAAACGTCTTTTATTTCGGTGAGTTATTTTGATGGAATGGTCAAACTAAAATCGGCCGATACAATACAATACCATCCAGATAATATCGTGCATTCTTAATTAGAGGATTAGGCATCATTCTCACACATGGATCAACCTCCAGAGTTCAGACCTCATTGGGAAGTTTTCCGATGTGTCTTTGCACAACCGTCTGTCTCTCCTGTCATCAATACGAGATCTTAGGTCTACACAATAAATCGGCAACAATGAATATGTGGTGAGAGACGCGTAATCGGTATAAATAGATATCTGTAACTTCACTGAGTTACGATCCAGAACCGCACAGCATTCTGGGGGATGTAGGCAGAGGAAAGGCTTCAGCGGCTCAACCTCTTGGCCATCTAAGCTAGGTTGGTGGCAACAACTAACTCTGTCACTCTTTGGTTACCTAGCAACAGACTGTTTAGTAAGTTGTGGTTACCTAGCAACAGACCGTGTAGTAAGTTGTGGTTACCTAGCAACAGCCTGCTGAGTAGCTGGCGCAGCAGCAGCTTAAGGTTTCACCACTTTGCCTCATCGCTGCTTAAAAATAAAAAAAAACGCAGAGGAGTGAAAAGTGTGGATGAAAGAAAAAATGTCACCCTATCAGTTTGGCATTATTTTGAGATATTTAAACAAAAATCTAATCAATAATTATCAATATTGTGTAATATGAAACACTTCTATTGTATAGTTTTTAGCTATATTGTCCAGTTTTAAAAGATTTTGGTGAAAAATGTATGCAACACTAGATGGAAATAAATCCTGTGACACTGCAGAAGCCACAATGGATACTGTGAATAGAAATGGACAAAGTATTGCATTGTGTGATCTTTTGTTGTTTTGTTTTTTTTTGGTCAGGCATTGTTTTTGGTTGTTTCTTCCTTCCCTGCTTTTGTTATTTAAATATCCTGATTATAAAAGAAAATAATGTTTTTACATCTCTCTATAGTTAAATTCAGTCCATTCTATTTAGAGGTGCCAAGTATTCTGATCTCGACTTTAGCTGGGGGTAAATTCAGGCAGTTAATTATACAAATAGGGATAACGATGCAGTTTTGGGCAGTCCCTTTGAGGAATGCATGCATAATTAACCCTTAATTGCTTCCAGAAAGAGAAACAAGTAGTTGTTTAAATAATTAAAAGACCTGAAGCGATAAGTTCAGATATGGCAGACTTTAACTTTCACCAACATGCAGGCTGCTGTGTGAAGGAAGCAATATAAATGTTTAAACCACACGCAGGGTTGAAGGCCTTAGCATTCAATGCATAAATGATTACAGCGCGCCTTTGCATAAAAGTTGCATGCAAGCACTGATAAAAATAAGGTTTTTTTTTCACGTCTTATAAAGGGTGTTGTTGCACTATGAAGCGGCAGCTTTCCTTCTGCCGCTGATGGAGAGATGAGAAGAAATAAAGAGTCAGCTGGTATGACGACAGGAAGCTAAAGTGCCTTAAGCAAGCGTGGGTCAGACCAGGATGCGAGTGTGAGCAGAGGACGATTAGGGGAGCGAACGCATAAGTGCCAACTTGTGAGGGCAGAGGTAGAGAAGAGAGGCCAAGCATCCCTACAGGCCATGAGGAAGATAAGTGGGGGGGGGCGGGGGGGGGGGTTGGTGAAGCAAAGGATGGAGTGATAGGAAAGAGATGGGCGAGAAAAAGCGCAGGC